TACCTACAATTTGTGCTGTTTGATCAAGGACCAATTTATAATGAATCTAATTTATACAACCTTGATCAAACAATAAGTGTTTTAAAATGCTGACTTAAATTCCAATTTTGACACTTCTCATTGGAGAGTAAATTTGACTGATACAAAGATATCAGTAATTGCAATGATTGCTGCTGATTCTTGCATATCATTTCTGTTCATTGGATGTTTGTGGGATTTGAGAAAACATTATATTCAAAATGTTCTCCACATTAAAGCCATATGTGAGTTTTGAGCAATAAAACTTACAAACATTGTTAGAAATTCATTGGTATTATATACATTCTGTAACTGGACCTATAATCCGTGAAACACTGTAAGACTTGTATACTATTCCCTACACTGGGAAGTAATTTTAATCATAATTTTATTTATTTATTTATTTATTTTCCTGGTTTGCTCTAGTTATAAATAATGTCTTTATTTTAGCAGTAAATAAATGATATGAAAATTTGCATTCATTTTAGCAGTAAATAAATGATATGAAAATTAGCTTATGTCTAAACAATAAAGAATGCTTTTTAAAAATACTCATGAACCTTCAATTTTCTTGTAACATATAGCCATCTTAAAGATTTGAGTAAAATAAGTTCAGCAGTGGCAGTCATAGTTCAAAGGAATATATTATTGGAGGTTAAAAAATAGACAACTTCCAAATCTCTGAAGGGATTAGGATCTTCAATTCCAGCAATTTGCAGAACAATAGATATTTTTAAAACCACTTCTTTGCTTTTGGAATGTAGAATTTAACCACTTAGAGAAAGTACAGCATGAATCTAATCCAGCTGCTTAATTCAGGCAGTTCTGTTTTATAGCTGTGTGAATGTGCTTCACTTGAGGAAGACTGGAGACCAGACAACATACTTATAAGAACTCTAGAATGTGAGTCAGACACACTGATTTTAGTGCTTAATAGCTTTTTTCCTCCTTTACAAATAAGGATCAATGAGAATGCAAGGCAGCATTTAAGGTGCATGTGGTTTGTAGTACTGGCCAAATATTAACTTTCCCAAATGAACACAAGCATTTGAGGCTCATCTTTGTTCAAACTTGAGGTCAAGACACCAATCTTCTCCATACCTTTCACTAGGTCAGTGACATACTAACAATTCTTTCTTAAAGTTGCTATCTGGCTGCTGGGATTGTGGCTCAGCGGTAGAGCATTCACCTAGCATGCGTGGGGCATGGGGCGCATGGGGCCCTGGGTTTGATCCTCAGCACCACATAAAAGTAAATGAATGAAATAAAGGTATTGTGTCCAACTACAACTAAAAAAATCTGGCAAAGTATTTCCTTTCCTATAGCATGTAAAAACCTTTATGGGATTTTTGCTTTGTGATTTAACAAGAGGTCCTCCACTCTAGTCCTTTCTTTTAGTAGATAAGAGGGGTGGAAAAGGTGATCCAAGAGATAAAAAGATTCAAGAGAGGACTTGCCCCAGGGACTATTATAAGTCATGAAATAGGCTTAGAGTTAATTACATTTGATAGCCCAATCCCCTGCACCTAACATTTCCATTCTTTCTTGATTCTGTTAAATGTTAATAAAAATTTACGAATCCATCCGGAAATCAAAGTAGAACAAGTTTGGCTTAACAGAAATAATGTATTAACAATAAAAAGTTAGATGGATTTAAAAGCACACTAAAGTATCCAGGTGCTACCACGATAAAGGTAGGCAGGAAGTCTCTTGTTTTGTCTTCACTGTATAATGGAAATACATTATATATAGTTTTAAGAGCCTGGTCTGTTTCCAGCTTTTCATTTTCCTTACGTGTTATTTTGCTGTTGCTGTTCTGCCAGGGCTTGTTGAAGGCGCATCCGCTTCCGAGAATAGTGTTGCCAGTGTAGAATCTGCTGTTTGTCAACGAATTTCGCACACTGAGCACTCACCAGCTCCTTTCGAAAGTGTTCATATTGGAGCAGTTCTAACATATGTAAACACTGAGGGTACTTTAGATACTTGGCATATTCTGGTTCTTTCCAGTAAAGCAAGTACTTAAGATAATTAACAAAAGCTTTGTCTTTGAAGTAACCTCTATGGGCAAGAAAATTAAGGTAATTTGGGTTGGCTAAACACTGTACAAATTCCAACTGCAACTGAAACCGAAGTCGATTTCCAGCATCATCTGTCTCCATAGCGACGGCAGCCGCCATAACAAGCAGAGACACTAAATCGCCAGCAGTCTGACAGAGGAACAGCCTTAATCATAATTTTTAAAGGACAATTAAGAGACACCTATTTAAAGAATAATATTCTAAAATATAAAGATATTCTGTGTAAAGAATAATAGTAAAGAGGAGACACAGGTGTAGCAGGGCCCATAGGGACCTTGGAGACCTTCTTACCAGGTCCTTATTGTCGTCCCTTGATTGAAGCTGTGACATCCCAGTTTTGTGGGAGTGGCAGCCTCAAACCTATATGTGTCTGATGTTGAACTGTGGAGCCACCATGGGGTGAATAGGGAACCCCAGTCAGGGCACCTCTCTGCTCCGATGAGGGGTGTCTCATGTTGGGGTCCTGGTGTGGGGCTGTCTCTGGTTCACAGGGAAGCAGGATGCTAAAATCTTATTTAAATTCCACACATTCAGAAGACAATTTTGTACAGACCTGAGCAGTTTATTTGATTGTAGATGGTTTTTAGTCTCCACACTCTTGGTATAAGATAATATTTTCAGTTCCTACACAATGCTTAATGGACTTGCAGCTAAGTCCCGGGGAAAGGGGCAGACCTTTTATCTATATCACACAGAACAGACCTCTGGGTCCATCTGCTCAGGGCCTCGACGTCTCCATGTTCCTCAGGTTGTAGAAGATGGAGTTGAGCATTGGGTGAGGGTGGTGTGGAAGACAGGCAGAACCTTGTTCCCTGCTGAAGACCAGAAGGATCATGGCTGTGGGTGAGAGCAAAGGGTGCTGAGTGGAAGGTCACCACAGTGAGGCGGTGCTGCAGAGGGAGAAGACATTCTTCTTCCCTGTCCCAAGGCCATAAAGCAGAGAGCAAGAAGTACTTGACCACAGAAAAAAGGGATTCCAATGAATGCAAACATAAGGAGATGTCACGCAGATCAGTGAGGGACAGCCAATACACCAGGAAATAGAGAGGTGTGTGGAGGCGGACATCCAGGAGGGTGAGAAGGATCAGGGACAGGTTGTGAATTAGAGCCATTAGGAAGATGAGAGCAATGCAAATGAAGAG